CCCCCCCCCCCCCCCCTCCCAGTTGAAATAATTGCACTGACCTTAATACCATAAGACAATAAGATAAACTCGCAAATATTTAATCAGAGAAACCAAGGAGAAAGGAAAACAACAATAAAAATTTATGAACCCAAAAATAGATCTAGAGAGTAATTTGGAGAGGTTAATTTTGGAATCAAAACACAACCTTAAGTTAATATTAGACCAATTAATATTTCATTTCTCAGGAAATTATCTCAAGAAGTAAAAGATAACCACATAAATACACTAACGACGATAGGGCGATATTCAGAATCACTAAAACAGCTGCCAGCTCAACGTATCGCTAACCTGTACTATGAAAGAAACCATGGATACTTGAAGGGGTTGCGATTTCTTGAAACTCAGACCAGAAAGAATGGTTAGAAAAAGTATTTACTTTATGGGCATAATATTTCATCAAAGGCAAAACTGAGCAACATTTTACCGAGACTTGTGTTAAACTTCATTTTTTGCTGTGCAACTTGTGAACAACTGAACAACATTTCACCGTCACCGCAGTACTGAGATGAATAACATAGAAAATCTTAATGCAAGTAATGCGAAAACGAGCTCACAATCGTCTCCGTCTTTGGAGACGTACTTGACCTCTGCACTGTTTGTGGTCATTGCTGCCATCTCAGTTTTTGGCAACATTCTCATTATGATGGCGATCTTTATTAACAGAAGATTGCGAACGACAAGTAATTATTTGCTCGTTGCGCTGGCAGTACCGGATTTCTTTCAGGGAGCTGTTTCGCTTCCTCTGAGGCTTGTAGAAGTGTTGGACACGAAATCCGATCATGCGTCATTCTGTCGCGTGGCAATACCACTTTCGACTCTTTTCGGCGGCACTTCAAATCTTCACATCTTACTGATAGCTACGGAGAGGTTTATCGCCATTTGCTGGCCATTCTTCTACTGTAACTGGGTTACCACCAAAAACGCCTTAGTGGGCGTCGGCGGAACTTGGGTTTTTATGATAATTTTCTCGCTTTTGCCAAGTCTTGGATGGGGTGGAAAACAACCTGAAGCCTCCGTCAAATTTTGCCGATTTCCAGTATTTCTCACGCAAGAATACATAACAAGTCTGTATGTATTCGTTCATGCTTTTCCTATCATTACAGTTATCTTCCTGAACGTCTTTATCTTACGCGCAAGCTTTGACCACGCCCGACGAATTTGCGTTCAAGTGGCGGCCAGCAACGCCAATTCTCAAGTGGAACAGACTTCAACATTTTACCCCGAACAATCGGAAGAGGTGGGCAGAAGAAAAAGGGAAGCTTCAAGACAGCTATGTTACATCCACTGTTTTACTTCAGGTCGACTTAGGAGTAAAACTGGACTTAATCTTTTTCTGGAAGTAACGTATTAAAACTAAATATGCAGTAAACCATTAAGATTAGCCGCTTTCCCGATTCACCAAGATCAGAATTTTTTAAAATATTGCTGTTGGGATGCGAATAGCACGCACCTTTTTTGGGCATTAAACTAGAAAATTCCCGGGAACAAGTGGATTTTTATTAAGATAGTCCTCGGTTTTCCCGTTGGAAACTTTTCCGTTGAAAATGTGTGTTCCATTCCAGGCTGGTCACGAAGAGAGGGGAACGAATGAAACTTGTGTCAAATGGAACAGGTTCTTTACCTGAAGTGCTTCTTTCCCTCGAAGTTTCCGAGAGGTTTTGGTAAATGGAAAACGCGCATTCACAACTGAAGTTTTATGAGAATGACTTACTAACGTTATAAATATAAAAACGATTGGATGATTGACAATTATCGAGAGATTAGTACGTCAGTTCAGAAACGTGTTTTCTTGTGCAAAGGACGCCTGAAACAAATTACGACAGGAGCAATATCAATTAGTTTAGGTAATAGCATTATTTGCAGTGGTATTTTGCATAAATACCACGAGTGGTATTTCGAAATTGTTATACGTAATTTCACGAGCCGTTAGGGGAGTGAAATTTGGGACAATTTTGAAATATCACGAGTGGTATTTATGCAAAATATCACGTACAAATCATGCTGTTATTTATTTATACTACTACCTGCAAAGGTTTGTAATTTTCACATGTAGGTATTTCAAATTAAGCTTAAAAACCACTGCTCTAATCCAATGAAATTGCAGAAATTTCTCGTGTTGTAGTATAACAATCTTAAATAAGTATAATTTGGCTGCATGGTTTGCAATAGTTTGTCAATAGCTATTAATTTTTAAAAATTGCCCTGATTTTGCCTGATGAATGCCTATAATCTATATAGCTAGCAACATGAATACATTAACAGAGTTGAAATAAAATCTAAGCTTTAGATCATGATTTTGTTTGGAGAAATCTGACATGGTCAAGGTAAAAGATCTTAAACTGTCCCTAATAATCAATAAAACGATGCAAACACAGCAGCCAGCGCACATGAGATCAGGACAAGTGTCCTCTCAAGGGCCATAATGGCGTTTGGTCTTTGGCTGTATAGAGGTGTCCCTTAAAATGTGGTAACTAGTAGAAAGGTAATGTGGGAGGGGAGGGGGTGGGCAAAGTTTGTGTCCCCTGAATAGAGGTTCGATTCGTTCGATTTTTTCTACACGCCTAATGTAGCTCTGCTCTGTGCTGGTAAAGCCGTGTGAAAATTGTCAACTGTTAATAGAAAGGGGATCCAGCTAGAGACCTCGGGAAAAAACGTTTCAGTCTAAGGATAACTAAGTGTATTATTTTCTTCCCAACGTTTAATGCACAGTAATAAATCAGTCTTGCTCCTTTATATTTTACCTATAGAGGGTCGGTCTCAAAGCTCCTCTCGCACTAATTTGGTCCTGAAGAAGAGCTAAGAGTTAAAGTAGTCGGACTAATGTTGCGCAGACGAAAATGTAACTAGTTTTAAGGTTGAAACTCCGCAACAAATTACTGAGAGCTCGGCGTCAGTTTTACTCAACATCTTTCAAATTGTAAACTAATCAAAAGAAAACAAGAAAGAAATTGTTGATACCACAGCCAGCAGCCAGGCCTCAGTAGAGAACTTGAGCTTAGTGTGCAATTTTCCAGAAAAATTAAATGCACGTCTTAGGCTAAAAGACCAAGTTTGAATTTTCCCTTTTATTCTAAATGGTATTTGAGGGTGATAATAAACAAGATGATATAGCCTTTTATGGCTGGATAATCTGGTAATTGGGTGAGATGAACTGCTTACAACTACAACAGCATGAGATAGGGATTGATAAGACAAGACCAAGAAGAACAATTTTATATTGCCCTCCAAACAGCTGGGTACTGATCTTCATTTCAACTCCACAAGGGGTTGTTAGCACAACCAAATCGAAAAAAAAAAGTAATAAGTTTGAACAAATAAGATCTTATACCATACAGAAGTCACTATTTGAACAGCTTTCCTTTGTGCGCATAATTCACCGCGTTTAATGAAAAGTACATGACACTGTTGAATGTGCTGAGTTAAGCGAGAGTGCATTTACTTTAATGGCTGCTTTGTTTTTATCCTCTTTTGAAGAAAGAATGCGGATTAGTGACCTGTTGAAGGAGATTAGATAGTGTTTTCACCGAATGTCGCTAATTGGTAAAATGCAAATACACCTTTTAGTGAAAAATGTTTCACTTGTTTTGAACAACGAACCATATGCTACATCGCTTCGGTTCATAAAACCTTGACTCCAGTTAATAACGGATCATGTCAAATACAGTAGATGAAGAGTTTTAATCAAGAGGATTTATTGCTGAAGCGTAAACACTTTCGTGGCCCTTACGTCGAAAACAAGATTGGTTTATACAAATATAAAAGAAATGGAAAAAAAGTCGTTTAATTGTTTGCGGCGATAATGATCAAAGAGTGAATTTAGTCAAGGAATACTTTGTTCGATGCCAAGAGAGAACTTAATGTCATACGCTTCGCCGCGGGATTGGATGAGATAGAGCTTTATTGGAAAGTTATGTGTTAATGTTAGCACTGGTAACAAGACTTGGCGATAAAAAAGGAACAACAGTATTTATTTTAAAGACGTTGATATCATGAATGAAATGGAAAACACTGGCCAAAATAACTCTTCGTTTTCAATGACTTCTAATACACTGGACCACCAGTCTCACGAAAAACTGGCAGATGGTTCGATTTTCCTAGCTTGTCTATATTCAATTATATCGTTTATCGCCGTGTTCGGAAATCTGCTCGTTATAACAGCGATTTTCTGGGATCGAACACTGCGCTTGTACACAAGTAACTACTTCCTAGCGAATTTGGCAGTAGCTGACTTTTTTCAAGGCGCTGTGGCGATTCCTTTACGGGTGCTTGAAGTTCTTGGTGCGGAATACAACCCCAGCGTATTTTGTAGGGTCGCCATCCCTACATCCATACTTTTTGGAACCAGCTCTAATTTAGCCATCTTAGTTATAAGCATCGGTAGATTTTTAGCTGTTAAATATCCATACATTTACATACGCTATGCAACTACGAATTTCATCATCGCCGTTGTTGCATTCTGCTGGTCAGTTGTAGCGGTGTTGAGTTTAATAGCGGCTTCCAAGCTGGTTTGGATCATACCGGATACTTTGACAAGAATTTGTCGTTTCCCAGTTTATTTGAAATCAGACTATATCATAGCAATGTATGTTATTGTTCATGCTATTCCTATTGGAACAGTTGTACTTTTGTATGGATTTATTCTGCAAGCCACTTTAGTACACTCACGGCAAATACACGCTCAAGAACTGGCTGTGGTCGCTAGTGTTTCAATGTGTAGTAACAGCAACGTTAATGAAACTGACGCCACAAATATGAGTACCGTGACAAATGGACGGAAAAAACAGCAACGAGAAACAGCGAGGCAGAGGAAAGCTGCCAAAACAGTTTCTATAATCGTTGGTCTGTTTATCATTCTTGTTGTACCTATAATAGCAATAGATCTCGCTGAAATGCTTGGTGCTCCACCAGCCCCCTTAATCTTGACAAAAATTTGCGTTTTTATGATATTCGCAAACAATTGTGTGAACGTTGTAGTATACGCTGGCTTTAATCAGGACTTAAGGCGAGCTTTCAAAAAGATTCTTTTAAAGATTGCAAGAAGCGTCTTTCGAATGCGGACTTACAGATAAAAATTCAGCCATGAAGCACACACCACTAGTAAACTCGGCATTCTCGCCCCCAGACCCCGTCGTTTCTTTTGGTCACGTGGCCTTGAAGCCGAGTGGCTCTGGGGACGAAATTGTAAACTCAGCGGTTCCGTGGTATGGCCAGTGCCTCGGGCACCTGCCCAGCTGTAGTCTGTGCTTCCTTCCTGAATAGGTCAGTTTTTTCAAAATTCATACTTGGGTGCGAGGCTTAGGGGAATAAAAGAAAAGAAGTAGCATTAAGATTCAATAATTAATAATTCTTTTCTGTTGTTTAATCGATCCCCTCAGTCTCGGAGCAAAGAATGACTTTTGTGTATTAGTAAGCTGCGTGACCATATAACATTTACAGGGCAACTGACGTAATATCTGCAGGAGAAATATCAGTAGTAAATATCTTGCCGTAATTTTCCTGTGTATTTTGATTGTTTCATTCGGTATTTTGATTGTTTGTTGCGATCAAGGGAGTCCCCGAAGAGAAGTTAAAATGCCAAGAATTTACAGAGGTTGTAATGGTCACTCGGCTTGCCTTAGGTCAGGTGAGCTGCTCTCCTACTGTTAGCTGTGACACCACCGAGAAACACGTTGACCCTTACTAAAAATAGGGAGCTTAATAAGCAAGGAGGACGGCGACGGAAACGAGAACGGCAAAAAAGCAATAGCCTTAGATTGGCAAAACAACAACTTTCCACGTGCATCACGCTTTTTTGTACATTTCTTTGCCGTCGCTGCACGACTAAAACGTGAAAGTGCCTAAATCCACGTTTTGTCGAGGACGGGAACACAACAACAATTTCCTTTTCTTTTCCTGAACTTTGATACAGTCGTATAGAATTCAACTCCAAAAACATTTGCCAACATTTGACGAAGTGAAAGAGACGGAATAAGTGCAACAAAGTTTGAAGCAGCGCTACTTCAGTTTATAACAGACGTTTTCGTAGCCGTCATCGTCCTTGATGCTTCAGCTCCCTAATTTCCCTGGAAAACGGAGCAAGAGAGAACGCCCAGCGACTCCGTTGATCGTATTAGG